TATAATAAATACTTAAGTATAATAAATAATTATATTAATATGAATTAAAATATCATGAATTAAAAGAAAAATATAATAAAAACAATAATAAAATGTATCAAAATGTAATTAACATCATTAATTAAAATAATGCAAAATGATAAATTAGATGATAAACTAATAAACTGCACAATTAAATTAAATTAAAATTAAAATTTTATTTAATTAAATTTATGCATTTAGCAGACGCTTTTATCCAAAGCGACTTACAGTGCATTCAGGCTATACATTTTTTACCAGTATGTAATAAATAAATTTACATTTATGATTATATAACTTATATAATAATATATGTAGTAGTAATTAATTATAGTGATAAATAATACATAAACTCTCAATAAACAATAACAAAGATATTGCTTAACAATTGTTATTTAATTAAAAATTGTTTCTGTATGGAACGATATTCCGGACAATTTTCAAAAGGAATTGCAAATTGTATTTTCAATTGCGTTTTCAATATGTGGACGCATAAATTGTGACTTTCCTTTTGAAAATTGTCTGGAATATCGTTCCATATTTCTGAAATAATAAAACTTTAATCTGGGCCAGTGGTTGTGTGTTTGTTAGATACGGTACCTGGTGGCGGCTCCAGGCCTCTGGCACCGGAAGGGAGAAACCCAGAATTGGCCCATTCAATCATCTGCCGTGTCTGCACTTCAACACTATTCCCTGAGTCCGAGTCATCAGTGGACACACACACAGGGAACGGTTTCCCGGCACGCATACTCGCCGTCTGAACAGAGATCCACATAAACAAGATGAGAAAATGCACACACACATACACAATAACACACCACAGAGAAATATCATGACTTGCCTGTAAAACTTCATAGATGGCTTTTCTGTACATGGGCTGTTTGTTGTAGGTGGGCTGATGAAAAGACGTGCAAAATGTACTCAAGGGCAACAGCTTTTCCACACACACCTGAAAGAGAAGAGGATGTTCATTATAATGTCTGTTATCAGCACTCATGAAGGATCCTGATTGGTCGACAGACTCACCACTGAGAATTTGCCATCTCCAAACCACATGACCCAGCGGGTGCCTTCAGCGGCACGACTGCGACTTGTCATCCACCACGACACGATCCGGCCGGGCCACCAGGAGAATCCCCGCAGCTTCCCCCAGACCAGCTCTCCGATCCCGAACCCACGGCCGTCCTGAGAAAACCCACAAAAACATCAGCTTCAGCGTCAGTGGAACCTCACATCCTGCAGGTCAAATGACAGCAAAACCCGATTCTTGATCAGAAGAGGCACTTTGCTGAATCTAATGTGCTGTAAGGCCACAATTAGGGAACAAAATAAAGCCTGAAATTAAGTCATTCATAAGTTATTCTTCTTTTTCAGCAAATGATCACTGAAAAAAGCAGCTGCATAACCTTCAAAAAAAATTAAAAAGAACTAATAATCAACCTCAGGAAGTCAAACTAACTATTAAATGTTTTATTTAAGTTTTAATTTCTATAATTTTATATGAGGTTTGCAGCAGGACTGCAAATTAATAAGAAAAAAATCAATTAATCAATTTGAATCAATTAATTGTACAGTTTGCTGTGATTAATTGCAATATTTTTAATTTAATGTTCATTTACAATTGATTAATATTTTTAAAAGGAATCATAATATTAATCATATTAATTAATATTGTTATCTAATTAATAATACATTTTAATTCATGTGCATTTCATTCAATCCTAATACATATATTTAAATAAAATAATAGTAAATATAACTTATGTCGATTATCATTTAACAAAAATATTAAACTAAATAAGAAATCATTTCTAATAGCACTGTTTAGCATTAAACATTAAATCCACAAATGAATGTAGAATCAACAATTGAAGTATATTTTAAACAATACTTGTTTAATGGCAGCTTTTTTTTAATAAACCACATTTCCACTGTTTTTGACCCATTCAATATAACTAAAATAACAATACTTAATAAAAATATGAAACAAAATAAAACAAATAATTTATGATTATACTATTGCACTGTTGCATGCATCTACATCTGTTTGCATGTATTAGTTATTTTAATTTTTTAATTTAACATTATTTTAATTATTATTTTTTTTAATTAATTTATTATAAAAAATAAAAAAGTTAGAAACGTTTAACAGTCCAGAAATGAACTTAAATAAATTTTTACTACTTTTAATTTTATTTTAAATAATAGTTTATCTTGCTTATAAAAACTCGTGTCAAATCATGGAATACCAAAGTGAACCCTATTTAAACCAATGAAGAGCCATTATTTTTACGAGTTATCCATCAGGACAGGGATTCACCTCATACTCCAGATTAATCTCTGAGGATCTCGTCATCACTTTGTTACCGCAGGCGACGGGAGGCGGCTCGGGCGTCGTGGCGACCGTTGGGGAGGCGGGGTCAGTGTGCTGCTGCTGAGGTGTGGGCATGGATGGGAGATTGATGGCTGGCTCCTCCTCCTCCTCCTGAGAGCCGACAGCTGATTGGTCGTCCATTATGTCACTCATGGTGGTCACCAGTTGGGCCTTCTCCTCCTTAAAGACACGCAGGCACACAAACACCAAGGTGAAATACAGACACAAACACACAGGGTCTCCATGGATTTTTACTAATATTGCTCGAGGATCAAAAAGCAGAAACTTCTTTATCTAAACATCTTTTTCCAGCAAGACAACAGACTAGTGTGTGTGTGTGTGTTTAGGTAAATATGGATTTGAAATCACTGTGGAAATGTAGCCTGCAGGTTTTTACTGTCATATGAGCACAAACTCCGAGTTAACATGAGACAGGATGTCTCTGTGTGTGTATTAGACTTCTGAACCCTCCAGAATTACTGGCATCCTGGCAGAAAAGTCAGTGTTTGATGTTTGTTTACATGGATTGTAGAAATCCAACACTGTTCATAGAACTGCTTCATTCATATTCCATATTCTTAATCGAATAATAAGCCTGGCACTGTGGATCACGAATGTTGTTGGATCTTTGACAAACTGCTTTGGATAAAAGCATCTGCTAAATGTATAAATGTAAGTGTAAACATATGATTCTGAGTGAAAACGCATCTTCATAATTTTGTTGTTTCTATAGTCTATTGCAGAAGCATGTCTAGTTAGACTAGCATTCAAAAGCCTGGAGTCTCTAGGAAAAAGAAGTCTCTTCTGCTCACCAAGGCTGCATTTATTTGACCAAAAACACAGTTAAAACAGCAAAATTGAGAAATATTATATTATTGAATTTTCAGCATCATTACTCCAGTCTTCAGTGTCACACAATCCCTCAGAAATCATTTTAATATGCTGATTTACTGCTTAAGAAAACAGTCGTGCTGCTCCCTGAAACCTTGATGCATTTTTTTCAGGATTCTTTGATGAATAAAAAGTTCAAAAGAACAGTTTTTATTTGAAATATAAATCTTTTGTAACAATTTAAATGTCTTTACTGTCATTACTGAATAAAAGTACTAATTTCTTTCAAAAACATCTTACTGACCCCAAACATTTCAGCAGCAGTGTATGTCTAGTCAAGATTCATTATGTGAAGATTTGAAGCAATGCTGTGGATTTGGCAGGAGGAAGACAGATTCTGATCTACAGTATCCGATGAGACCACGATGTCAACAAGATTCCCATGACTCCGAAAACAACAAACGACATCTCTTAAACATCTCAACAGCTTCCACTAGCCATTTTTTATTAAGTGTTAAAATACATTCTCATCTCCCAGCTAAATAAGTAAACCATTTACAGTATATGTATATTTTAAGTCTATTTAAAACATTGCTCTGTCGGTTTGAGCATCCTGACATCCTAGAAAACTGCATTTGTGCCACTTACCCTTGAGAAAATGTGTTTTTTTTTGGGGGTGGGGTGTCTATTTTTAGCTTATACTACTGGTTCAGCTATTAAAATAGTTCAGTTTTGTATGTAATGGAAAAGTTATTATATTTTGTTTCGTTTTTTTATAAAGTTAACTTAGAAAAACGTTTGGAGCATTTTTTGTTTCGTTAAATGTAAGTTTTTTTTTTTTAAGTAACCGTGCGTTCACACCGCCGCTGTCGAGAGCGTCAAAGTGGCCGGAAGTCATTCACTTTCAATGTGAGCCGGCGTCGAGCAGCGGCGCGGCGCGACTTGGACGTTGAGGGCGTCGAGGAGAGTTGAAATCAGGTCAACTTTATGGTAATGAGCTATGACGCGGTTCGGCGGCATCTGGCGGCAACCAATTTCATTATGTAATCCCTAAAGATGCATTTCACTCTAAAGGCAAGTCCAATGAGGAGTAATTTTTAATGATAATTGATCAATTGGTCTAAAATATAAATATAATAAAAAGCCTAAAACAAGCCCGATAATAATTTGCGTTTTATTTTATAATTCTGTACAATTAAAAAATAAAACACAAATTAAAATGGCATATATGTAAAACTTTGTCCTATAATTGTATAGCTGCTTATATTTTCTGATTTTTATGTTGCTCTGTTCTGAATACCTTAAAACTTAAAGGATTTGCTGCAACGCAATTTTGTCTGATATGTGAATTATTTATTAGCCTACTTTTTTTTATCCATGCAGCAAATGCTTTAAACACAGCTGTAAAAATTACTTTATTGCATTCCAGACGCTTTTAAAGTACTTTTCACTATAAATTTTACGGGTAGCTTGAATGTAAAACATTGTCATGAATTCCTTGTATTCCCATTTGTAAAATAGCCTACAAATTAATTGTTGTAGGCTAACCCGATCTCATGAAAGTGCGTAGAGCACGATTTTCTGCTTCTATTTGGCATAATATTTTTATGCAGAAATTGACTTTGGCATGCAAAAGACAGATAAATTCATAATTAATGGCATGGCTGGTTCAGTTGACAGAAATATGGGACACACAGGCCTATAATAACTGCTGAAATGTTTGCGGGGCAAATCTCAGGTCAGTTGGAGCGCTCATGGTACCCACAGTGCGTACAGCCGTACACCTGCAGGTGCCACTGCTTGTGGTGTACTTCAAATCTTAAAAATATATATTTAAAAAACTGTTCTTACAGATAATATTAATGGAATAAAACGCCACTTTACTGTAAGTGTAGTTTACTATCATGACTGCTTTGTACGATTTTAAAAAGTGTACTTTGTAATAATGTCAAATTACATTTATAAAGCATTATGTTAATCTTTTGTCTATATTAGTGCCTGCAAAGCAAAGCATCACTATTGTTCTCTTGCTTACGATGTTCACAACAGGTAGACTTAGCATTGGACCGAACTTTCTGACCTCACATCTCCGCATCAGAATGTCATAGAGACTTGGGGGTGCGCTTGTTTGACTCGTCCTAGCAAGCAGCCAATAAATGGTGACATTTCAACTTCATAGCCATGCCCTAGCAACCAGTTACAGCAACCTATAGCAACCAGCCCACAGACTTCTATTGAAAAATGTTGAGAGGCATATCTGTGGATCAGAACATCGTAGAGACAAGCGGGTGGCCTTTTTTGACTCAGACTGGAGAGTAGTCTTTAATTATCACCACGGAAACTGTCTAGCCACGTCCTAGCAACCATTTAGAGAACATCATAGAGACATAGGGTTTGGCTCTTTTGAGTCAGTCAGACATCCAGTCTATTGTTTTCACCCTAGTAACTGTCTAGCAACACCCTAGCAACCATTTACAGTAACCTAGCAGCCATTTGGCAGCATAAATAAACCACATCTCAGCACCAGAACATCATACAGACACAGGGATTGGCTCTTGTGTGTTCAGACACACATCCAGTCTAGTAGTTTTGAAAGTCTAAACCTTCTGGCCATGCACTTCAAATCTGAATGTCATAGAGGCATGGGGGTTGGTTTATATTGTTCATAATTGTAAGCAGCCTTTAGACTATCACCATTGGCAGCTGCCAAGCCACTACCTAACAACCAAACAAAGTATCCTAGCAACCATTTAGCAATATCTCTGCATCAGAACATCAAACAGACATGGGACTTGGCTCTTTTGTTTTGACTCATGCTGGCAAACAGGACTTCCAAAATGCTACACATGCTAGCAGTGAATAGCTACATGCTACCAGTGATTAGCCAAGTGTTAATACATTCTTACAAATCCTAACTAATCGTTAAAACATTAAAAAAGACCCTAGTAACTGCTCAGTGCTGAATTTTGCCACGGCAAGCACCACTCACAATTTCTTCAGAAAATGTAACTGTATGTGAGACTGTGAAATTTTGATTCCTTCAAGCAGCTGTTGGTTTCTCCTGTGTGACCTTTTGCAGGAAGGTCACAAGTGCCTCATATGACCTTCAACCCCACTAAACGGCCTACCGCAGAGCAGCTAATCACACCGAAACACAGAGACGTAAAATACAGAAGACAGGCCTGTTTGACGGGTCAGTGGAGACACATAAACTCACTTCCTGATACAGTATATATCCTGTATATACATTTCACATGAGGGATGGAAACAGAAGATGGACCTGGCATTGACATCCGTCTCGAGTGCTCAGCGCTAAATACAGTTTTAAACAGGGTGCAAATCATTTGGTGAGCTGAACACAAAGCTCAAATCAATAAATCAATACATATGTAAATGTGTGTCATGTTATTGTCATCTGTGGTGCTGATTACAGACTTGTAATTAAATTGACCAAAAGTGGCATTTATAATGTTAATAATGGTAAATGGTAAATCTCCATCACCTGCGTGCTTTCACATTGAGCAGCATTAACTACACAGAGCCGTTGTTCACTGATGAGCAGCACAAACCCACGTTCATATTCGCGCGATTTTTTGCACTGCTCATCAGTGAACAACGGCTCTGTGTAGTTAATGCTGCTCAATGTGAAAGCCCGCAGGTGATGGAGATTTACCGCTGATTACAGAACCGGCTTTACTGATAAGATGCGCGTTAAATAACGCATGTGATTAATCGTGCAGCCCTATTTACTATGTAATATTTAAGAACAGCATTTATTTGAAATAGAAATATTTAGTATTACAACATTATAACATTATAAATGCATTTACTGTCACTTTTGATCACTTTGAGGCATCCTTGCTGAATAATTTCTTTAAAAAAAATAAAAAATAAAAATAAAAATCTTACTGACCCCAAAATTTTGAAAGTTAGTGTTTATACAAATATGCATATATTTCTAACTTAATCAATGCAATATAATGAGGAAACCAAAATGTATAAATATATGATTTATATACTGTATATTATATATGATTTTTCCAGGAAGGTCCCATTGAGGTAAACATGGTTCATTTATTACACACTGCAATACATTTTTAAAAGTATTCAAAGAAGGAATTGCTTCTAGTGGAGTAATAATTTGAAATTCATTCCACAACCAAGGGTGAGTACTGTATGTGAGCAAGCATTTGTTATAAATCACAATGCAGCATGATAAAAACCATCCAGCCTTTATAGTAAATATAAAGAAGCATGCATGTAAATAACATCACCATAATCTGAAATGGGTAAAAAAAGTACTCTGTATAATTCATCTTTCTAGCTCCAAAGGAAATTTTTTTTTTTTTGCCGAAAAAGAAAATCCAATCTCGGTTTACGTCTTTTCACCAAGTAATCAATATGAACATCAAACGCCAACTTCTCGTCAAGCCATATTCCTAAATATTTATAAGCTGCTACTCTTTCTATGTGCGAACCATCAACTGTAAGAATAGACGGAGCAGTGGTCATAGAATGGCTTTGTGTAAAAATTTTAAAAAAGTTTTTTATTATTATTTTTTTAAGCTTAAATTTTTAGGATTTCATTTAATTATGCAGTATAATGTTGCCTGCAGTTTCCTCACAAAACTCCAGGTGTTCATGAACCTCAGTTTGGGAAACCCAACTTTATGTCATCATGGTGTAAGAATTTAGTCAAATTCCTCCCACATAGACACTGACAATTTAAACCTTTTCAGCTCAAAGTGACAATAAATGCATCAAACACACAGTACAAACAAAACCATGCAGCCAGTGTATACAGATCTATATTTCACTCTTAAGCCCAATAACACACAACCTCTCTCTCTATGTTCAGGACAGCATACTACTAGTACTGTTTCTTAAGTATGCAGTTTGTATACTGTACGCAGTATGTTCGACTTGACCTTCCATATTTATTGTGAAATATCAACTGATTTTTGACATGTTCTTGACACATTATTTGATCTGACTGCCAAAATGCATGATTACATGCAAAATTACATGCAAAATAAACATAACAGCATGCAAAATAATATACTTAAGTCATTATTTAGCATACTACAGTACTGTTTAAAATGTCTATCAGTGCTACACCCCTAAAAATAAAGATTATTTATTGGCTTTGATGGTTCCACAAAGATCCTTTAACATCCATGGAAACTTTCCATTACACAAAAGGTTCTTTATAGTGAAAAAAGGTTTTAAGGTTTTTAAAATGTTCTTCACACTAAGAAAAAAAATGGTTCTTTTAAGAACTGTTGACTGAAACGTTCTTTAAGGAACCAACATAATTCTTCTATGGCACTGTTGCTTAAACCCCCATTTTAGAACCTTTATTCCAATAGCATGTGCATTTTTTTAAAGGGGTCATATGATGCGATTTCTAGTTTTCCTTTCTCTTTGGAGTGTTACAAGCTGTTCGTGAATAGATAAGATCCCTAAAGTTGCAAAGACTAAAGTCTCAAACCCAAAGAGACATTCTTTATAAAAGTTAAGAGTCAACCACGCCTACCTAAAACAGCTCGTTCTAACATTCCCCCACATATCTACGTCACTGTGTGGGAAGATTTGCATAACGCCGCCAAAATGTTTACGCAAAGAAAGAAGGCGTAACTTTATTGTTGCTGCCACCGCCGCCATGTTGTGAAGACGCTGTGTGTTTCGTTGCGAAAGCGAAAATACTTTGTTTGGCCTTCCAAACGAGGACATGACTAGAAATCAGTGGTTAAGTTGTTTTACTGTTCCAGAACAGTTCAAGCCAAATATTCAGATGTGATTTTTAGCAGCATCATATGACCCCTTTAAATAATAGGCAGTATATAGTACACACACACACACACACACACACTTATGCAAACAGCCAAATCAGCATTTTCTACCTTCATTCTCTGTGTTAAATACACACACACACACACACACACACACATACACAGAGACATCAGTAAATGTGTCTTTTCCACACAGTGCAGACATACCCACACACGCCGCTGTGTCTGATCGGCCGTCCCGCTCAGGTAGCTGTGTGTGTGCATGTGTTTTCGCAGGCAAAAAGACACTTTTAAAACAGAAAGGGGGGAGACACACACACACAATGTCTTTGTTTGGGAATCGTGAGTCACGTGACTCAGTGCTGATTGGTCAGAGTGTTTGCAAATATAGGGACCAGAAGGGCGTCCGCCGCAAGACGAGACGCTGAATGAGAGCGGAGTGCCGACCAGAGAAAAGAGAGAAATATGAGTGAGTGTGTGTGTGTGGGGG